TGCAATGACGAAAGGGTTTTAAATGATCAGGATCTCTTCTCCGATATTTACACTTAAAACCATCTGGACAATTAGGTAGATGTTGATATGCAACTAAATGTTTTTGGCTGATATTTGTACAATCACCTCCGTATTCACAAAATTCTGGATGATCAAAATCTAACCAATGTATTGGATCAGTATCCTTACATTCACCACCGAACTTGCATTTAGTATTATGTATAAATGTAAATGCATGAACGTCATCTTCTAATTGTTCACAAGATGAAGTTGCATTTAAAAGTGGACACATCGGCGGATGTGAAAACTGAGCCTTATGTCCAGGCTTCCGATAATCACGACACTTGGCACCATGATGGCATGGTGGAAAATCTAAAATGCAAACATCACTTAACGTTAATTGTCCATCAGCTGATTTATCAAGAACACGATTTGGTCCAATAGCTGCATTAATACGTAAAATTGTTGGTGATGGTACAGTTAAACCATCGAGTAATTCTTTGAATGGAAGAAAATTTCCTTGTGGATTAATTTTATTGCCTGCATTATGATCATCAACAATAGCAAAATAAATAATATTAAAAAATCCCGCATATTGTAAGATAACAGATTTAAAAATAGAAGCGATATGACCAGGTGGATTCTTAAAAGCACCACAACCAAAAGCCGATAAAACGAGGCAATCATGTTTATGATAATGTGCAATTGCAAAAATGTTTTCAACCTTTTTTTGTGTATTAACAGCAAATTTATTTTCTAATGTTCTGTTATTTTTTAACTTAGGATCTCGATGAGCAGCCATGGCAATAGCACAAACATTATATAATGGAGCTTTCATGTACGCATAACCATTGGCTTCTGTTTGTCGAAACACCGTAATACCAGTTGTGTAAATCGCTCCGAAATCATCCATCGGATAGAAACTATCACTTTTTGATATTTGTTTGAGCTCACATTTATCATTGCAATGTAGTCGTTCTGATTGATCCTTATCAGCTATTTCTGCATCAAGACTTTGGTAATAATTTGATCGACGAAAAAGATTTTCCTCCTGTGCTCCATCACCTTTTCGATAACCTCCTCCAGGACTAGCTTGATTGGCCATATTTAGTAATAAGGGTCGACGTCCTTCTGAAACTAATTTCTGATAAATAATAAGACAATCTTCGTTAACTACTTTGACAGATGTTGATGCATATAGTGTTTTGATATTATTAACCGAAGTTTTTGTACCGTGTGATAGTTTTGATTTGTGATCATAAACAATTGTTCGCATACGGTCAGGTTTTAGTATAACATCTTCGTCATTGACTTTGTAGCGTTGCTTTCTTAGAACGCCTATTGTGTTCAACATGACTGTCACTCGTAATAAATGTCGATGAAGATCATAACCTTTCGAATGTTGTTCTGTTGACTCTAGTTTTCGAAGTTGTGCAATCCAATTTTGAGCATTCCATTGATAATGAAAGATGGGATGTTGAGGATTATGTAGTAGTGTCATAATATCTGGTTTGATCTCGAGCATATCTGTCTCATACCAGTTTTCAGCATGAATAACCATGGTTTCTGGATCAATAACAAGAGCATATGGTTTAATTTCCATCATTTTATCATCTATTTTCACAAATTCTTTGTCCAAACAATACTTATAACTGTCCACATTATTGAGTTCTAAAATAAGCTGATCATTAATATGATCGTGTCCAATAACTCGATTTACAAATACGTCGTGACGAGTGATAAGATTCACATCAAAACCACGAGGTACAGGAGAGACAAGTACTCGATTAGTAAGTGTCTTTTTCTGTGGTACTTTTCGTCCATCAATTGTTAAGACAATTTCCGTTGTCCATGTTTTAGCGGACTTTGTTACTAAAACAACTGCGTTACCAGTGTCTTTATTATATTGTACGTATAATGATGTTGCTGGAAGTTCTATACCACCCGTCTCAGCAGTGACAGCAGATAAAAGTTTGGCATTGGTAGTAAATGGTGGTATATCTTCCAAAAAACTACATTCAGCACGTGGATAAACAGTGGCCAAGGTACCGTCGATCTGAAAATCTGGTGCATTAGCTACTTTGGTCAGGACATCAAGCGAGTTCAAAATAATATGAAAAATGTTGGGAAATTGATTAGAAATTGGCTCACAGATGAAATTTTCTGTTCCCTTGTATGTTTGCTTAAAACGAGCGGTAACTTGTTCTGAAGAAGGAATCTTGGATGTGTTTCGAGGGAGTACAATATAAGTGTCAAGTTCGAGTTCATTCCCAAACGATATATTTATGCGACGTTGTGGGTCGAGAACTGTGGACTGAACATTAGCAACAAGATATGTTTTGTCGTCGTTATTCATCAATCGAATCACAGCTACACCAAGTTTTGAGTAGCATTTCACATCACTTATTTTCATACGTCCAATGGCCTCTACACGATTTTGAAGCATTTGTTCAGCATCCTTCTCGGGAATATTTGATGGTATATCAGGTACGTAGACTAGATTATCTTCGTTAGTGGAAACCATATGAGCAAAATCTTGTTTGTCTCAGGATTAATCTAAAACAACAGTTTTTTTAGTAAGGCTATAGTAAGACCAATCATACATGTCGAGAGTGTTTATTATATTATTATATAATAGAATATATACCAGAAATATGAGGTGAGATTTGAACAAAATTCTTTTAAGTTTAAGCTAATATATGTGGCTGGTGATTGAATTTTGCTCTATTATTTTATAGAGCGAAAGACTTGTGGAAAACCTGAAATGAGTTTTTGGTACTTCTGATTTGTATTGCTCACCAGATCAGGTTTTGCACCTGTATATCGTCATCTGATCACTGACGCATAGTTTGTCAGATGAAGTAAAAGACTGATGCATTGAATCAGTAGTAGAATTTAACATACTTTATTGAAAAAAAGACCAAATAACACATAATCTCGCTTGTCTATATACATGAATATCGCAGAGTCCACTGTGATCTTACTCCTTTTACTCTGCAAGAAGCTGGAAGATTATCTCATTCTGCAACAAACAACCCGTTCTTGGAGTAAATTCTCCAAAAACGTATAATTGACGTTACGACTTTGGAAAAACGTAAACGGCGCACGGCGTTCAAACTAACGAAAGTCTTTACGCTTTTACGAGATCGAGGAAACCCAGCATTATCGTTACTCAATGATCCACGAGAGAATTACCAATTTTATAAGTTATGTAAACGAAACTCAGTTGTCTTTCTTCTATCTAGCATTGTGTATTCCGAGCCATCTACACTGCTTCATAGTTTAAACACAGAGTTGCCAGAGGCCGGTGGAGGGCGCCTGGAAAATGTTCCGTCTACTGTAGAACTAAGAGGTACAGGCATAAAGCCGTGACGCCTTAACGGATCGGACAGGCCTCAGACCAATATCACTACAGCAAACCGATCACAGTAGTCAAATTGACCAGTCTTTAGAGATCGACAGAAACTTTACGAAAAACGAACTAAACACAGTGTTGGAGAATATGAACAGAAATTTGAACTTTTCTCCTCTCGTTTATAAACTGTCATCAACATTTTAGTATTGATACCCTTTTCCGGCGCAAAGATGCATCCATATCCAGGAAACAGAAATCTATCGCACAATTGGTATGGGATTCAACCTAAACTAGAATATATGTCCCTCCCTCATCTTTCTTTGACATTTACTATAAAATATTATACCTAACTGCGATTCTTACTATACCCGCATTCGTACTCGTATTCGACAACGTCTATGCTTACCCAGCTCTGAAAATTTGAATGTTATATGTCACATATGAAACTTGAATTCATTTGGTAATTTCATCTATTTAACCAATGAATATGTAAAGCTTCATGTCTTCAAATATATTCGGTGAGGATGATGGCGAAAATATAAACATAGGGCATCACACTAACTGAAGGTTTAGACTCGTACTTAGACAGTGTGCATCGTACAATGACAGTGCGTGGTATGTTCGTCGCTAAGAAAGTTTAGAGTGTTGGAATAATTGAACACCTGAATTCAAGTTTTAATTTTGATACTATATGATAGAATAACTGAATGGCGAAATATGTGAACGTCAGGTCTTTGGTAACCGAGTAATTGAAGTCAACGTTCAGGTCTAACACATGAATATAAGTCATATATTATACACGCGTCAACTGAAAAAATAGCCTAAAGCATTTAATCAGTATTTATTACGAAAAGTAGTAACGAAATGACTCGATATATACGTACTTTTTATTATCAGTCTTTTAACGCAAGGTAAAACAATGCTCACGTTTTGAAAACACTTCAAGTATTGTCTTTATTTAAACGAAAAAAGTGAAGTTGGAGCTTTCCAAGTGTTATCTGTCACTTGAAATTGATGATTAAAAATAGTTTCTGATAAATAACTCATCTTTTATGACATACAGGTATGAATGGCCGATGTACAGCTTGGTGGTAAAAATGTCATCTTGTATTCTTATCAAATGAAACTAAAATAAAAAGAAGAGTCCACGAAACAAAAACGACTTTCTGTAGAAATATAATAAAGATTGGAAGAAACTGCAAATTCATTCTTGAGATACAGACGACGATCATTAAGTTCAGTCGTAAACATCACTGTAAGCAGTATGATTTACGATCAATTGGAGTGTGGAGATATGACACGATTGTTTTATTTGAGTATGGTGTACAGACCACAATAAAATATAAATCTTATGTCGTATCTCTACCTAGCAATACATTTGGTGTAAAATATGAAAGAATAGAAACAAAGAGTAGGTGGGACTTTTGTCCGGGAGCTTGATATGAACGTCAATCAGAGATTATTTGTACCGGGTGGGCCATAAAGAATGAGGGCCACAGTATTTCGTCAATATCTCGCTCAATTTTGATTATCTAGGCTTCAACTTTCTTTTAAAAGATGCACCATTCAATTCTCTTATTACTTAGGAGGTTATTATTTATTATTTAGGTTATTAAATTAACAAACTGGATTTTTATATAGGTTTTTTAATATTTTTCGAAAAAACGAAACGGAGATAGGGTCTAAAATATCTGCGGTAAAATCTTCACCTCGATCGGACCATTTTTCTGAGGGGATGATCTACTAGAGTTTTCCAGAAACCCATAGAACGGAAAACCCATAGTGGAACACGTCATAAAACCCACAAAAGAACACGTCATTGGAAATTAAAAAAAACAAAACAAGGACTATCTCTGGTATAAATTCCACCCTGATCGAATATTGGTTTCTCCGGTGATTGTACAAATATCAGCCAAAAACATTTAGTTGCATATCAACATCTACCTAATTGTCCAGATGGTTTTAAGTGTAAATATCGGAGAAGAGATCCTGATCATTTAAAACCCTTTCGTCATTGCAAATCTATTTGTCTCTATGATAATTGTTGTGTTAATTTTCATGATAAAGAACATTTTGATAATACAATACATTCATTTCGTCCACCATGTCCATTAACACCATACAATTGTTCAAAGTATATTGAATTTGTTCAGACGAACAATGCAAAAGAAATTTCTTCAGAAGTAGAAGATCATTGTCTTGAATATTCGCATGTTTGTCCTTATGGTCGTCGTTGCAGAACTACCGAAGGAAACCATTTGGAAATATCAATTCATATTGCTCGTCAGCTGTGTCCCGATGGTAGTAGATGTTCAAAACTTACTCAAGAGGATCATTTAGAATCCTATACTCATTCTGATATACGAGATATTCGTCTATTATGCAAAATACCAGGTTTCAAGTGTTTGAATAGATTTAATGATCAGCATTTCAAAAAATATCGACATAATAAAAATTATGATCATTTTAGTGTAGCTCCGTCTAGTAATCTTAATGCATCTATCAATTTCGCTCGTAATCAAAGTCAATTGATCAAAAACGTAAACAACTACATTGACAAATCGAATTGGGATAAAGCAGAGATTTCTCCAGAAATACTTAATTGGATACGAGCATTGCAACCTGTACATCGATGTGGAAAAGAGGTTTTTGAATCGATTCTTGTTCTAGGACATGTTATGAGTCGTCATTTTATGAATTTATTAAGAAAACCAGAAAGTGTAGTCAGAGCGGTGCAACAACATAGTCGAGTACGTTTGATATTTCTTCATCATAATACTCCGACCGTCAAAGATAATGTACGTAAACTCATTGAAATATTGGTTGAAGCTGAATTTACAAAAGCAAAATCAGATGGAAAAACCCCATCAGATTCGAATCATGATTATAGAATTCAAACGATCGAGCAAAAACTACAACCACCTCTTAATAATAGAGAGATTCAAGTTATTCATGAATGGGCAGTTAAAATTGCTCAAGCATCGATTAAATTGAATGCTGATCCTAAGGGAATCGGATATGTGGTTGATGGAAAATTAGGAACACATCAACATGTGTTTAGTATACTGGGACCACACCTTGGTCACTATTATGGCGATATTGTCATTACTTTTAAGCAAGAAATCATGTTTCATCCTGATGCCAATTTTTCCATCCAAGCTGGAACTAGTTTTCCCAGCAAAAGCACTTATATACTTCGTCCATGGATGAAAGATCCAGGAACTGAGGAGAAACGTATAGAACATTTTCATAACTCAAAATTACATTGTTCTGTTCATCATTATGAATATGCAGCGGCATCAGAATTAGTTGCTCTAACAGGCTTAGATCAGCAATCAATGAATGTCGATCTTGAAGCTATTCTTCAACGATGGATAAGTGTGGATTCCCATCAAACATTCGAAGGCCATTTACCACAACTCATTCCATTAGATTATATTGATCGTGTTTACATATCAAAGAATGTCTTTGAGTCCCTTTCACCCGAAGCTCAACAATCAGCTAAAGGAGCTTTTAAAGATTCACTTATGATTAGTATCTATGAAAGTGATGAGACCAAATCAGGCACCACGTTGAAAGATATTCTTGGCTACACTTATCCAAAATATGTGTTTGAACAACTCTGTGAAGCCATCAAAGATCGAATGAACAAACAAAATATCTCTCGAGGTATAGTCATTACAGTTGCTGCTTCCGAATTTGGAGAACATATTATTTTACCAATCACCATTTCGCAGGCATATGCTTTATATTATCTTGACAAACCTCAATCAAAAGATGGTCACGAATTCTCTTATATTTATTGGCAAGCAATGTATGGTGATATGATGTTAACAGTGTCCAATGAAAAGATTGAGTCAGGCGAAGAAAACTTCAATCTCCAATGTCTTATTTGTTATATTGCGGTAAAACCATCAACAGTTACTGAAAACTATTATGAAGGATATTCATATTTGAATGATGGCTTACCATATCAACATGGTAATAACGTCGCTGCAGTTCAATTCAAAGCGAAATCAAATACATTCTATCGAGGGTGTAATACTGAGGATTACTTTACCTTTTGTCTGAAAATTGGACATAGAACTGGTCAAGTAACACTTTCCCATGCTGGATCAAATGGTATTTATAATCATGAAAAGATTCAATATCAATTTAATAAAGCTGATTTAGACCTATCCAAATTAGATTTTATTCATCTTAGTGCTGGAGCACAAGATGTTCCTGTACGAAATTTAACAATTAATTTTGAACCAATACCTGAATTACATCCATCCATCGACACGGAATTCAAAAAAGATACATATCGTCTTATTGAAAAAAATCTTGCTCCATCTTTTTATGCCAATCCTACGCTTTCTACGACTAACAGATCAACAAGAGCGCGAATTAATATATCATCAAACATAGACGCCCCGGTTGTATTGAGTCGGATAAGAGACATATTATGTTGTCGCCGTACGAATGTAGTCGAACCAATATCATTAGATGATGTTCCTCCAGCGTTGAAGCCTTGTGACGATTCAGTATATTGTTTACAACAAAACTCGTCCAAGCATACTAATCAATATTCCCATCCTTGTGGTTTTTCTGAATTATGTACAAGAAAAGCCAAGGAACCGCATCTTACACATGAACGTCATAATGCTCTTAAATGTGCACAAGATAAAAATTGTTTGGAAAAACATGATCCTGTTCATCGTGCAACTTATCGTCACACAAACCTACCTGATTATCTTATTCCATGTCGTAAACAAACTAATTGCTTAGATAAATCACCAAAACATCGAATAAAATATTTTCATGGTGAAACCTTACCTTTAATCAGACGTAAATTGGGTAAAATCACACGATAATTCATCCTTATCCTCTTTCAGGCAAATAATCACTGGAATACTTGTAATCGAGAAGACCTCATCAACATGTAATCCTGTGATCACATTCTAGTTCTTGAAATGTAAACAAAAATAATTAATTACCAATAAATGAGATAAAAATTAGGCTATTTTTTCAGTTGACGCGTGTATATCAAATACACTCTGTACACAATTGTGTTGAATATGGTTTTATTCGTTATAGTTGGTGTTCTAAAGTATTATACTTTCACCATTTTTTTATTCAATTTATCCATCAATAGTCAAATTCAAAGATATTGACTACCAAGGTCGATAATTCAACTTGAAATTCGAACTAAACTAAATTAAGAAGAAACAATTTCATGTAAAAAATAAAGCGATCAATTGGATAATTAGAAAAAAGTATAGATAAGGATCTAAATGATACTTTCGAAAGGTATTTATTTTTTCCTTTGACGCCTGTTTTTGTTTCCTGTTTATTGATATAGCTGAATATTTTTGTACTGTTCTAAATTCTTGGTTTATATATAAATTTAGATTAGAATCAATAGCAATACCACTAAGTGTTGATATTTCACCTTTAGCTTTTCTTGTGGGGATCATTGTTCCACATCGACAACAACAAGTAAAGAGGAATCATAATGTCTTTTTTTGCTGAGCAAGTTAACATTTTTAGCTACCACAATGAGCACTGTGACAACCACCGAGGCTGAAATAAGTATATTCTCGTCGAAAGATTTTGAAAAGGCGTGCCGGTTCTGATGATGACAGCAGTTCAATCTCTAGTGATGATTCCCATCCATGTTGTAGCAAAATGTTTGTGTAGTATTTACAAATGAGTGAAACGTTCAGCCGGTATCAAATGGCTGCGAAAATGACAATGAAACGATTTAATCAGCGTCATAGATAAATCTACTTTAACTGTGATACTCATTGACACTTGGTTCTTGGTTTGTATTTGGCTTATAGTTTCTTTCTATCTTACGCGCCACATAATTACTCAACGATCGAGTTAATCACCTAGCTTTTATTCTTGTATTCTTGCACTCAAATATTTTTATTTACAAACTGTTAATATTTATACTTTAAGCGGATGGTGCTTGCTGTCTGTTATATTGTTTGATTGAGCATACTCCACCTCTTTTTTGCCGGAGAAGCCAATATTCGATCAGGGTGGAATTTATACCAGAGATAGTCCTTGTTTTGTTTTTTTTAATTTCCAATGACGTGTTCTTTTGTGGGTTTTATGACGTGTTCCACTATGGGTTTTCCGTTCTATGGGTT